AATTCAGTCCATTTATTGGTTGTGTTGACGGTGAAGTCTATCCTGCTCAGTTTTTCTGGGTTTCAGCCATTAAGGCTTAGATTTCTGTATCAGAAGTGAAAAAATGGGATTGCTGCAATCTTCATAATATGTAACACCTGCCTTTGATCAACTCTAAAAGGATAATTCCCTGTTTTTTTTTCTTTTACTCAACGGCAGTTCTTGACCTGGTGTCTAACTGCCGTTGAGTTCTTGACACTCGACAGCAGTTGAGTGCGTCTGTATATACCTTTTATATACAGACCTCTGCATTGTATCTAATGTATATAATAGACTTCACTTAAATGAATAAATGCAGTAACAATAAAATAACATGTCAAAAAAGGAAAGAATTAGTAGATTTCTTGTATTTCTCGTTTTCTGGTTATTGTTTGTTCTGATGTTCTGGTAAATTTCTCCGGCAGGGAATTTTTACGTCTGGGAAACCCTCTGAACTGCGGCGCCTGGGACAAGAAGCTCCTGAAGCAGTACCGGGTCCACAAGCCCAGCTCCCTCGGCTACGACGCAGACATGAGAAGTACATTTCTTTTTCTTCTTCTCTGATATTCCTAATCAAATTGATTCTGCAAACGACAGGAGAGCAGAAAGTTATGCAAACTTTAGAGTCAAACACTGAAGGCGTTTTGAAAAATGCTTATTTTCTGAGCTGATAGTTGACTTTGCATTAAATTGCATTAAATTACTTTGCATTAAATTGTAATTAATGACACTTAATGCAACTTTACATTTAAAGTGTCAACAAATTTGCATTAAACAGACACTTTTAATGCGTAGCTCAGTAAAAGTGTCATTATTTACCGGATGACATTTTATGACAGAACCGAAACCTCCTAGTAGAAAACCTCCTGGTAGAAAACCTTCTGGTAGAAAACCTTCTGGTAGAAAACCTCCTGGTAGAAAACCTCCTGGTAGAAAACCTTCTGGTAGAAAACCTCCTGGTAGAAAACCTCCTAGTAGAAATCCTCCTAGTAGAAAACCTTCTGGTAGAAATCCTCCTGGTAGAAAACCTCCTGGTAGAAAACCTTCTGGTAGAAAACCTCCTGCTAGAAAACCTCCTGCTAGAAAACCTTCTGGTAGAAAACCTTCTGGTAGAAAACCTTCTGCTAGAAAACCTTCTGCTAGAAAACCTTCTGCTAGAAAACCTCCTAGTAGAAATCCTCCTGGTAGAAATCCTCCTGGTAGAAAACCTTCTGGTAGAAAACCTCCTGGTAGAAAACCTTCTGGTAGAAAACCTCCTGGTAGAAAACCTTCTGG